CCCCAAAACCCCAAAACCCCAAAACCCCAAAACCCCAAAACCCCTTCCTGTCAACCAAAGTTGAATTTTTAATGCTCATTATGAAGAAAATAAGGTGAAATTATCCTGATATGTTTTCATCAGCATATGTAATATAAAGAAAGCCATCGCTATCTTTATATTCCTCATAGATATCAGTCATTAGGGTGTCTATAGTATATTAGAACATCTGTTCAGCATCTAGAAAGCCGAATATGGCAGTTTTAGGTGAAAATTCTAGTAATTTACCTGTTTTTAGCATATATTTTCCATTTACAAAGAAGAACAAAGCTTCTGTCTCTGCCAACTTGATTCTTTTTCTGATAATGTACATGAACTGGAAAGCTGCTAGCTCATTGGGGACTAGATATCTATAGTTTTCATTAGAGAGCCATTCTGGCCAGTTCAGTCAAGAGTCTGGCATACTTTAGAGCAGAATACTTTGGAAAGTTTCATCAAAATTATGGAAATTATTACATTTTTGAAGGGGAATTTTGCTACTTACTTCTCTTTCACAAGGTCTTCTAGCCTACTCGTAGTGTACTTCTCTCAGATGATAGGTATCCTGTCTGGGTACTTATACCTCAGCTTTTCTCACTCAAGCTTTCTCATTTCTAAAGGAAATTTATCAGACATCAATAGAGTTGCCAAATTTGACATTTTATGACAAAAAGGAAATCTAAAAGGCAGGTGAGGATTGTATTAAGCTTCTCAGAATCCTTTATTACAATCATTATTACAAATTTTCAATACTTTGCGCTTAAATTGGTCTAAGCCAAAGGCAGTTCAGGCTGAGTATCAAGGAAGTGTAGTAATATACCATCATGAAGCTGACCAATTGTAGGTTTTTAAATACGGAAATAGTACCAGAATAATAGTAAATTCCTAAGGAAAATCCTCTGAGTCAATAAGGAAGGTAGATCCAGAGTTTTCGGAGCTTTTGATAGCTCCAAACTCCTGTATGAGGTACTTACCTATATCCTTTTGTTTGTATTTGAAATTCATCGGGATTACGATCTATTTATTATTATAAATTTAATCAATTTTGGTAATTTAAGAAGGGGTTTTGGGGTTTTGGGGTTTTGGGGTTTTGGGG